AAGCACCAACCCCCATCTAGAAAAATGCGCTTTCGCAGAGACTTAAAAATTACCAGTGCAAAACAATGTTTTGGTCTTATAATTAAAATCACAACGGACTTTCACTATGAGCACATTCAGATACAAAATAACTTTTCTTCCAAATGAGAAAAAATAACTCACTTTTTTCTCTATTTTTGAAAGCAAATCATCGATCTTCTTCTCAATTTTACTCTGCAACGAAGAAATGCTATCCGACTTCTGTTGAATTACTTCATCCTCCTCTTTTATAAGCTCAATGATCTTTTTTAGTTGGAGTTCCATCGAAGAAATTCTATCCAAGTTGTGTACTTTCTCCTCTTTTATAGGCTCATTGTTCTTTTTTATTTGGTATTTTTCTATAGTAAAGAAACACAAACCGTCAGCCAGGAAAACCCAAAACAGCACTAAAAAAACATTTTAAAATGCTCGAAATCGACATTCGACTAATATCCATGTTGTTTCTACTCCCAAAGTAACTAAGAGCAAGTCCACCGGGACTTGCTTTGCCCAGCCCCTAGCACAAAAAACAGCCTGGCCCTCAGTGAAATTGCTCCAGCCCACAAAGTTGCCTGGCACCCAGCCCATGCCAGGCAACAGGCCAGCCTAATTTTGACAGACCAAGAAGCCGGCCTATTTGGCTGGTGCGTGCACGACAAGCGCGCCTGGGCGCGAGTAGCCGACAGGCTGCAGAGGGGCTGTCAGCCCACTTGTGTTCCGGATCCCATCAGCGACGTGACATGCTCATAGCCGTTGGATTTCCAACGGCTAGTTTTTCTAGACCGTTGGATTTCCAACGGTAAAAAAAGTTTAAATTTTACTTTTAAAATAGACCGTCCAATCACAGATCAACGGTCTATGTTAATTAACTAAATTAAAATTTATTAAAAAATACAGAAAAAATATTAAAAAATACAGAAAATTTTAAAAATTTTATTTATTTTTTCTATAAATACCTAACTCTCATCTTCTACCTTACACCACATTTGAATATTTTCTACACTTTCTACCAAAGCTTTCATATACTTTTTGTGTGAAAAAAAATACCAAAAAGCTTGTGGTTGAAGAATAAAGTGTATTTGATGAGTTTATGTAATTTCATTTTAGTGTGTTTTTTTTATAGTTTATTTGATGAGTATGTAATTTTATTTTAGTGTGTATTTTTTTTTAAGTTTATTTGAAATTTTATCTGAAATTGGTTAAAAATCTTATCCAAAATAAACTTAAAAAAAAAAACACACCAAATAAATGCGCTGGGTGCCAGCGCATTTTTTTAGGGGTGGAGATGCCTTGGCCTATTACTGTTCACTCCAGTCTATTACTGTTCACTTGAGTGGATAAATGCGATGGGTGCTGGCGCAAAGTCCTTAAGGGTGGAATTGCTCTAAACAATTCAGCATCTTTATTGGTCTGATTAAAATTATGAAAAAAGAAAAATCAAAGCTGTACAAGTAAGCGTCAGACCTCAGCTAATTGGCATATTACTTAGATTCCAAAACATAAACACAAAATTATAAATGGAAAGCATCACAAACACTTCCCAATTGAAAAATCAAAGGATCTCCAACTTCAGTAACATCTATTTGGATGGCGAGAAAACAGAGGGAAAAATATTATGAACTCAACATGAATAACGTTAGAAAGACCAAATTTATAAACCAAGTGATAGGTCACAAATAGAAAAAAGAGCACATTAATCAACACTTGTGTAATAATCTAATTATCAACATCCACATCATTTGGTTTACAAAATTTTGTTTGGAAATTTAGTCTCTTTAGCATTACCCACTCAAATTAAGATTGCTTTGTGATTGCCTTAGACCATCTTCAAAAGAGATGTCAAATATGCCAAATAAGATTAAAAGACATTCAAGTGTTCTCTAGTGGATATGTCATATATGATATGGCATGTGAGTCATTTGACTCCTTATTTTCTAGCTGCCTTTTTTTATAACAAACAAATAATGAGTCAAATATATTTAATTTAATCTTTTAATGCATGGGTCCCATTAACAATCAATAAAATACAATCTAAAATTAATTTTGATTATTTTTTAATAGTTAATGTAACTATAGGCCCATACAATAATAAAATAAATATTTGACACATCCATTGGAAAAAAAAATAAAAAATTTAGCACTTGTATTCAATTTGTCACATCAATCATCAAATAAAATTTTAACTACTATATTAGACATATCCTTTGAAGATGCTTTTAATCACCAATTAGAGAGTTAATTGAAGGTTTTATTGTTAAGGATTGTCTTTAAACATGCCAGCTGGCATTAAAAAGTATGGTGACTGTATAAAAGGAGGCCAGCTCCCTGAAATCTAACATATTGGTTTTACATAAGAAATCAAATACCAAAATTATTGCTCCTCTCTTCCTTCCTTCCCTCTTCTTCCATTGCAGTAGTTAAGGTTGAGTTAGGGTTGAGATTCGGGTCCTAACAAAATATCGAATCGATGAAAAATCACAAATTTCATCCACTAAACCCTAGAATTCGCAGAAGACGATAGAAACGAACAATGTATCTTATACATGAGCTTACGAAAAAAGCCCCCTCGGAGGGCTCTCACGTTTCTCCGCCGGGACTGGAGAGTCTCGCTCGTATTCCTCCCATGAGATTCCAGTTTCAGCCCGAATCTGGGAGAAAATAAGGGCAAGAAAGATTGAGAGAATCGTGAGCTTGGAGGGTGCCATGGGAGCATGCAATCACAGCCAACGAAACTCTCACAGCGACAATTTTTCGAGTTTTTTTTTTTTTTTTTTTTTTTTTTTTTTTTTTTTTAAGTTGGAGTTCGATTTCTTCCGACTGCAAATATTAAATATCGTTTGGTACAAAAAAAATCTTGTATTACCTCAAGGAAAATGGACATATGACTGCCAACTAATCAAGCATCTATGATACCAACAATTGTTTTTTTTAACTAAAATTTCAAAATATTAAATTAATTAGTTAGGATTAATTGTTGCTTTGAAAAATAAGGGAAAAATATTTTATTATTAGCAAAACTGTCACATCTAGGCTCGGGCCCCCACCACATCCCAAGTTCGACTCCACCGTAGCACGATATTGTCCTTTTTGGCCCGGACCACGCCCTCACGGTTTTGTTCCTAGGAATTCACACGAGAATTTCTCAATAAGTCACCCATATGAGATTGCCTTTGCGCGAACTCGCTAAACTTCGGAGTTCCGATGGAACCCAAAGCCAATGAGCTCCCAAAAAACCTCGTGCTAAGTAGAGATGGGAATATACATATAAGGCTTATATGATCCACATTATACTTCTAGAATAACATACTAAAATTTCATTACGATCCAATGGTTGGATCTCCGCCAATTGCAAATTCATGTGGCGGTTAACGTTTTATTTTATGAACTTACAAATCCAATTCGGGAAGATCAGTACTTCGGATTCCAGATCCGTAAGCACATCCCGGCCCGAGCCCCCATCACATCCCGGGCCGGGATGTGACAAAAACAGGAAAAATATTTTATTCTAATTTAAAACAAAAATATATCATGCAATTTAAAAGATGTAATATCAACTTTTATATAAGTAAAAATTCGTTGGGTTGTTTCATTTTGAATTATTTTTTGGAGGAAAATTTGAATTTATTTCTATTGCAAAAACATTATCATATATAAACAAACTATAGGGTCATAATTATTAAAAAAAATATTTATATTAACACAAATTTCCTTTAATATAAAGGCAAATAGATGGTATAAATTCCTCCATGAAAGGACAATCTTTTGTTGATATCATGCTTGAAAGTTGAAACAACAAAAAATATATATATATTATAAAAGTATCACCACCAATTTTTGAAAAAACGTAATTGAACTATTTTTCGAAAGAACGTAAAAAGTATTTTTTTTCTTGAAAAAAGTAGAGGTAGAAAATAAGATTTTTGTTGAAAGACCTTCAATAAACTCGGTGAGTCGTCCTTACATCTTTTTGACCATTTGACATATACTGACAAAAAATCAATGCTGGTGATTAACAAAGTGAACTAAGTTTCCCGAAATATGTTAGCGACCTTTGCATTAGATTTAGAAAGATAAAATCTTTTGGGTCATCCCTTGACAAAGTTAGAGGACGACTATTTCTTTTTTGATTCATTGTATAACATTCTTCTGCCTCAGGTAGTTTTGTTTGATAAGTTGTACCCACCTGCTACCTTTATATCAGTTAACATTCCCCTTTTATTTTATTTTTATATTTAGAAACTTTTATATTTTATAACTTTTGCTAGACTTCAAATACTTTCAAAAATTAGTTATTTTTTGTGTAATGCACATGGCTCCTTAACATTGGACATGTGTGCCACGTCAACATATTTGAACTAATTTTTACAACGTGAACCAAATTGATGTGTTGTAATTAATTTGAGACCGCCTTTGATCAATTTTGAGATTAAAGAAACAAAATAACGAGTCATGTGAATCTAAAAAGGGGAAACTTGATATAACTCCAATTTTTTGAGCTAATAGTAGGAATGGTCAAATTTATTAAAATAAGTCCAATTCTTTAAATTTAATTATTTTATTATCAATAATTATCTCTTAAAAGAAAAAACTTATTGTAAAAATCAAATTTCTTCCTAATTATCTCTTTGATTATCTCTTTTTATATTTTTTTTTTGTTATTTCTTGTTCTTCCTCCTGCTTTACCCATTTATAGATTTTTTTTTAATTTTTATAATCAACCTATATCACAAGTTAATTGTATTTATCTACCTATATGACAGATTCTTTTTCATAATCAACCTGTCACAGATTAATGTGTCTTGCTTATAGGTATATTATGTTTTTTTCTAACTTTTAGTTAGGTTTCATATATCACTTATAGGTATAATATACATTCATATCTTTTGCTACTTGAGTTAGGGTAGAATGTTTTGCAGATAGATTTATGTTAGTATATTAATTTTTTTTATAAGATATTAATTAGATATTTTAGAGTTGAAAAATGCATAATATTAAAAGATTTTAATTGATTTTTAATATTTTTAGAAAATATAAAAGGAGTATAAAAGAAATAAAAACATATAATTAGATAACTGGAGTCACTCCTAAAAACACTCTGTGTTTTTGAACCGAATCTAAAAGCCCCATTTAAAAAATCATTTATAATTAAAAAAAACCCAACTTATATTTAATGATATTGTATAGTGTGTCAGCCGTATTCCGAGTTGAGTAGGACCAATTGAAAATTCAACACCAACCCCGGCGGATAATGTCCTATTATTGAGCGCGACTCCCGATTAATTGGATTTCGACCACGCTAACCTCACCCGCACACTGCACTCCCCAATCACCTAGCGACGCGTAACCTCAATTTATTTTCCCGCGGATTTTTATTTCTGAAATTCTAAAAGACGCTAATCGCTAATAGAATGGCCAAGTAGAACCTAGTGTCTAAGCGGACTTAGTGAATTTAACTAAATTTATTATATTTCAGGTAAATAAATGTTTATTTATACTTAAAATATATATAATTTCATCATAAACTACAAAATAAATATTTGTTTTTTTCCAATTGGGCGAGCTCACAATCTAAACAGTCACCGGCCGTAGCGGAAGATTCTAAGTCGCATCGTGTAATGTCTAAATCCAATAATTCAAAGCAAAGATAAAGATCCTGTAATAAGGACATACCGTTTTCAATTGTCTCAACAACCAGATCGTATTTAAAGAATCAAAATAGATTCTAAAGAAGACAGACAAAAAAGGGTTAGAGACCACTCAATAAATTTAATACCTAACAAGGATTTCTTTTGAGTTATTTGAGAGTTATTCAAATTGAGTTATGAGAAAGCACATAATTTATGGATCCTTCCTTGAAAGAATCGCACACAGAGTGGTAAATCTCGTCGTTTCGACGAAAGTACCTATCAGTCTCTTCTTCCCCCTCAGCGATTTTCAGTTTCAAATTGCTCTGAGAAATGAATTTTGAGACGTTTATGTGAATTTTGAGAGGTATTATGAATTGGGTTTTGAATTTCAGTCAGAGAAATGAATTTTCATGATAATTTGTGGTTGGTAAGGAGTCACGTGAATTTAGTAAAAGTTGTTTGAAGCTACATCCCTGAATTTCCATGCAAATATTATTAAGGGTGCAAGTTAGAAATATAGTTAGAAAGTTTGTTAGTATTTGGTTAGAGTTGTTAGGCTTACTAGTATAAAAACAAAGTGTGTAATCTTCATTCTTTAGTTAATACAAATCCTATTACTCTCTCTAAATTCTCTCTCTAGCATCTCTCTTGCTTCTCTCTGTCTTCTTTCTCCTCCTCTGTACAAATCCTTTATCTTTGCAATGTAGTTAACAAATATGCCTTACCTGGAGAGACTCCATTTTTACTCGGCGTATTCTTCTCGTGTTCCGTAGTCTTCTCACCGATATTGGATACACCAGCCACCGAATTAATGAGTTTATCTTTGAACAAAATAAAAAAAAAAAACCGTCAGCCAGGAAAACCCAAACAGCACTAAAAACACTAGAAAATGCTTGAAATCGAAATTTATCTAATATCGATGTTGTTTCTAGTTTCTACTCACAAAGTAACTAAATAAATAATTACGCATCTTTATTGCTCTGATTAAAATTATAGAAACTGAAAAGTCAAAGCTTTACAAGTAAGCATCAGAGCTCAGCTAATTGCAGTATTACTTAGATTCCAAAACAGAAACACAAAATTATAAATGGAAAGAATTACAAACACTTCCCAATTGAAAAACCAAAGGATCTCTAACTTTAGTACATCTGTTTGGATGGCGAGAAAACTGAGGGAAAAATTCGAATCGACAAACACTTGAAAATTCACAAATTTCACCCAATAAACCCTAGGATTCGCAGAAGACAATAGAAATGAACCTGGGGAGGGCGCCCCATCCGAAGTGAACGAGTCGGGCAATACGGCTGACCCTGATCCAAGTCCTGGAGCTTGAGCCCGAATCTGGGAGAAAATTAGGGCAAGAAAAATCGAGGGAATGGCGAGCTTGGAGGGCGCCATAGGAGCACTCAATCATAGCCAACGAAACTCTCACAGCGACAATTTTTCGAGTTTTTTTTTTTTTTTTTTTTTTTTGAGTTCGCGTTCGATCTCTTCCGACTACAAATATTAAATAACGTTTTGGTTCCAATCTTTTATTACCTTAACGAAAATGGATGTATAACTGTCAACTAATAAAGCATATACGATCAGTTTCCAAAAAAATAAATAAAGCATATATGAGACCAACAATTGTTTTTTTTTTATAGAAAAATTCAAAATATTAAATCAATTAGTTATGATTGAAACAGTAATTTCAAAGAGTAATATTAGGGAGACTAAATTTACAAACTAAATAATGCGTCATCAAAATGAATGAGCACATTTATTAACTTTTAAGTAATAAATCAATCAAAAGATCCATATATTTTAGTTTTCAAAACTTTATCTATAAATTTAATCTTCATAACATTACCCAATTCCAAAACAACTGACTTAATTGATATTACTTTCATTTGTTGCTTTGAATAAAAAATAGAAAAATATTTTATTATTATCAAAAAAAGGAAAAAGATTTTATTCTAATTTAAAACAAAAGTATGTACTGTAATTAAAAAAAGGCTAATTGGCAGATGTGTGGGCGTGTTTGAAACAGATATGTAATGTAACATTCACTTTTGTACAAGCAAAAATGAGTTGTTTGATTTTGAATTCTTTTTTTGGTGGAAATTTTGAATTTAATTTTATTACAAAAATATTGTCAGGTATAAACAACAGGTGCACTTTTTAACACAAAAACAATTATGGTGTATATTGTAACATCCCACACCGACCAACGGAGACGGGGTGATATGCCCTATATGTACATGCCCATCTCCATATAACACAAGACTTTTTGGGAACTCACCCGCTTCGAATTCCATCATAACTCTGAAGTTAAGCGAGTTTGGGTGAGAGCAATCATAGGATGGGTGACCCACTGAGATGTGACAGAATGGTATCAGAGCCACTTTGCCGTTGGTGTGAGTGTGCTGACGAGGATGTTAGGCCCCTAAGGGAGGTGGATTGTGACATCCCACATAGACCAACGGAGAGGGGGTGATGTGGCCTATATGTAGATGCACACCTCCATATAGCACGAAGCCTTTTGGGAACTCACTGGCTTCAGATTTCATTGGAACTCCGAAGTTAAGCGAGTTTGGGCGAGAGCAATCCCATGATTGGTGACACACTAGGAAGTTACTCGTGAATTCCTAAAAACAAAACCGTGAGGGCGTGGTCGGGGCCCAAAGCGGACAATATCGTGTTACGGCGGAGTCAAGACTAGGATGTGACGTATGCTCACCATACAACGCATCATATGCCACGTGACCTTTCATCTAACCTTGATCGATTTTTTCAAAATTGAAAAAAGCAACAAATTAACCAGAGTTAAATAAAATGACATGTATGAGATGATTATTAAAAATTATATTTATATTAACCTAAATTTCCTTTAATATAAAGGAAAATAGATGATATAAATTCCTACATGAAAAGACAACATATATGACTTTCATTTTTCTCAAATTTGAAGATAAATGTCATATTGAATGCGGAAAAAAAAAATTCCTTAATTGATGACTACCATGAAAAATATCACTCTCAGTTTTTGAAAGAGCATAATTAAGGATTTTTTTTTGCTACAAAAAGTCGAGGTAAAAGATACAATTTTTGTTGCAAGAGATTCACAAATACAATTTTTTGACTATTTGGCACATGCTAACAACAAGGTGGTGCTGGTGAATTATAAAGAGAACCAAGTTTCTCAGAAACATTTGCATTTAATTTGGAAAGATAAACATTTTAGGTCATCCTCTAGCCAAATTAGATGAGGACCATTATATTAAACAAGTTGAATTAAAAAATAATTATATGATGATGGCATGCTTGCAACAGCAGTAAAATATCATTAAAAATTTCCATTATTTGTTTTTGCAAGAGCGTGAATTAAAGTATTTTTTGCTGCAAAAAATCGAGGTAAAAGATAAGATTTTTGTTGCAAGACCTTCAATAAACTTGTTGGGTCGTACATATATATATATATATTTGGACCCTTAGACAGATACTAACAAAAAGACGGTACTAATGAAGCAAACAAGGTTTTTCCAAAAAGATGTTAGCAACCTTTGCTCTATATTTGGAAAGATAAACTTTTTAGGTCATCCCTTGAATTCAAAATAGAATCCTTCGTTGATGACACGCTTAAAAGAGCAATAGAATATCATTGAAAATCTCACTGCCAGTTTTTGAAAGAGTGTATATTGAAGTGTTTTTTCGCTTGAAAAAGTAGGGGTAGATGATTCATAAAGGTATCATCTAAGACCATTATCATTAAAGTGCCATGGAATTATTACTTTTTTTTTTATTAATTGTAAAAAAAATTATTTTGTCTCAGGCACTTTTGTTTAATATTTTATGCCCACCTGCTGTCTTTATATCAGTTACCATTCCCATTTTATTTTATTTTAAGTTTATAAACTTTTATTTCTAATATTAGAAAATCAGAAGTCAATTTTTGTGTCTAAAGGTTTCATAAAAAAATGAACGTAATAGCCCCTCAAACCAAAAAAAAAAAAAAAAGGGACAGAAAAAATAAATTTAAAACCTTGATTTTGTCAGAAAGAAAAAATTATAATTCGTTTTATTAGGAAAAAAAAAAGATAAAAAATGGGACGTGCTGAAATCCTTGATTTGTTTTCTTATAAAAAAAAAATGAGATAAAATGAATTTAACCCAACCAACCAACACCACTTCTCCATTTTAGGAGAGCGAGAGCTTCTAATATCTCACATAAACAAAAATAAGAAGATACAAAATAAAACGCAATGATAGTATTGTAACAAAAAACAGAAACTTAAAATTCTTTTTATTGAAAAAAATGAAAGAAAAAAAGAAAACCTAATAAAAAAGGATCGTGATGAATCCCTCAAAAGATGGAAACTGAAAAAACTGCAACGTTCAATGTAAAGCTGTTTCTTCAAATTGAACTGCCAATATCTCCTTCCATAAATATTTTCCCCGAGCTTCTGTAAATTTTAAATTTTAAATTTCTGTTATGATCTACTTTTACACTATGTTTGGATGAAAGAAGTAAACTTGGAATTTAGGTAAAAATCAGAATTTATAAATTGACATGCATCAATTCCCTTGTTTGGATTTATAAACATAGAAATTTAGAATTTCCGCGTGGAAAATAACTTGGAATTTAAGACCTCAAATTCCCAAGTTTAAATTCCATGTAAATATGTATCATTTCCCAATTTCTATGACTAAGAGTTTAAAAATAACAAATTTCGTATTCAATTCCACAGTTCTTTTAGGTTTACCAAACAAGAAAATTCACAAATTCTAGAAAATAAAATCTCGTCATTTCAATTTCCGTCATTTTCAAATTCCTTAGTAATCTTAAATTTCTTCATCCAAACATAATGTTAGCTTTTTTATTAGATTATTGGTTTGCAGACGACCATACAATTTTGAAGCTGTTCACAGGTGGGGTTTTCGATTTCTTCATCAGATAAAGGAAAGTGGTATCTCAAGACTTTTTACCAGAAATTTTTTTTTTTTATAATTAATCAATTATCTAATATATTTATTTTTTATTTAATTTGGTTCTGTAAACAATTAGGACATCTGTGTGAAATTAGGCAAAGGCAGTTTCTTGGTCTGCTACGAGATGCTGAATTTTGATTTAAAAATTAGGCACTATCAGCAATTGTTACAAGGAAAACTAATTAAAATAATTTGAAAACTTTGAATTTTAAAGATAAGGACAAAATAAAAGGTAAAGTGAATAGTATCAGGATTGACTTTTTAGTGTAAAAATATAGTTTTTCGTTAAAATGAACAGTATCGGAAACTTTTCGTTAAATTTTCCTATAATATATTGCAGTCTGTCTAATAGTGATATCAGTTTAGTACACTTTTGTTTTTTTTTTCCCCCTTCATTTCTGATTTTCTCTATCCCTCCCTCTCTCTATGCTTTGGGTTTTGTAGTGTTTGAATTCATGAGTTTGTGTTTGTTCTGATTTTCTCTATCCCTGCCTCTCTCTCTATGCTTTGGGTTTTGTAGTGTTTGAATTAATGGGTTTGTATTTGTTCTTCGATTAATGCAGAAGAATTAATGGCGGCGGCAACAACTTCTAAATTTTCATATTTTTCAGATTCGTAGTTTTATTAAATGGGTGGTTGAAATTTGATCTAAAGGTGTTCTACATCGGCAATTCGACCGCGGGTGGATGCTGCATATTGCATTCATGCTGTTTCAAAAAGATTAAGCGAGACCCATAATTGGACGGTATGCTCCCATTCCATTGCAAATTTGCAATGCCATCCATTTTAATATCGATTTTGTATTGCTGGTTAGTGGACTTAATATTTAATGATGTATCTATTTCCTTTGAATTTCAAGTGGGGTTTGCTTAATATTGTTGCTTACCATGCCATACTATATTATTTGAGTTTGCTTGGAATTAATTGGTCAAGTACAAATGTAAACATTTGACAAAAAAAAGTACAAATGTAACAGTGTACGTTCTCCATAGTATGCTATACTTATGAAAATATCTTTACATAATGAAAAAAAAATCTGTACGCCATGAAAGAATATGAATAAGAATGAAGGGTAAAAAAACCATATTTCTTTTAACATTGCAAATTAGCGAACTTTTTGAAAGAGGTACATAATCATTTTGAATTTTTTACAAATATGACCTCAATAATTTTGATTTTTTTTACAGCCCTCTCACCCAAATTTATATTCTTTTTTGAGGCACCTAGCGCTCATGATAAATAAAAAGCATTTGACAAAAGAAGAAATCGGTAGGGAAATTACATATTATGGATTAATCTAAAGTAAAAAATAGAGGAATTTAGAGCAAAATTACAAATAAACATCATGTATTTAAAGGATTTTTAGGGGCGCACAAAGTCTGTTATTAATGAAATTATGTATACCGTGTGTAGCACTTCGTAGTATAAAAACGCTTTTCACACTCAAGGCGAGTGCAAAGGCTAGTGTATGGAGAAAGTGTGTCCCTCGTTG